GCCTCTCTCACACCCCCACCCCTCCTGAGTTCTCCCACCCCTGGCCTGCTCCGACCCCTGGCACGCCCCTCATCCCCCCTAGGCGTGGCCTTCAGCAACGGCGAGCGAGCCAAGCAACTCCGGCGCTTCTCCATCTCCACGCTGCGGGACTTCGGTGTGGGCAAGCGGGGCATCGAGGAGCGCATCCAGGAGGAAGCGGGCTTCCTCATCGAGACCTTCCGAGGCACCCGCGGTGCGTGGGGACCCTAGGCTGGGGGAGCGGGGGCGTCGCAGGAACCAGAAGGGAAACACCAGGGACCTAGGACCCAGGACCCACTAGCTCTGGGGTCCTATCGCTTCAGACAGATCCCAGAACTGTCTCTCTCTCTCTCTCTCTCTCTCTCACACTCTCTCTCTCTCTCTCTCTCTCTCTCTCTCTCTCTCTCTCTCTCTCCTCTCACCCCAGGCGCCTACATTGACCCCACCTACTTCCTGAGCCGCACAGTCTCCAATGTCATCAGCTCCATCGTCTTCGGGGACCGCTTTGACTATGAGGACAAAGAGTTCCTGTCGCTGCTGCGGATGATGCTGGGAAGTTTCCAGTTCACAGCGACTTCCGTGGGGCAGGTAGCCAGCCTCAGCCTGGCCCTCCAGAACTGGCCAATGGCTCCCCCACACACGGAGACAGATGCCCCCACCTCCGCCCCCAAGACAGGCTCCCCTCAAGACCAGCCCCCACTTCTGGACAGCTGTACGCTGGCACCAAAACCCAGCCTGGGTGACCAGTACGCAGTCTCCTAGGGCACCTGGGTATGCCCCGCAAGGGCAAAACCAACAGGCCGGAGTCTGCCTGTGAGATAGTCCCTTATGCCCTCAGCACTAGGGTGCCAATCCAACTGACCTGAACAACTGGTGGGTGCTCCTACCCAGCCCACCTCCCAAGCACGGATACCTCTGAATGCCTGGTGGGCAAAATTCAGCCCACAAACCCCCAGAGCCTTAAACCAACCCCCAAACTCACTGTCATTCAGGCGAATCCAACTTACACTTACAAGGCAGCAAATCTCCCACAAAGCGCCTGGTGGGTTTGAACCGCCAGCCTTGTGGTTAGCAGTCTAACACCAACGGCACCCCCAGGGCTCCTTTGACAGAGGTCCCCTGTCCAGCTTTCCAAGTATCTAAACAGTGCCTCCTGCCCAGAGTACATAATACCGAAAAACCTGGACAGGTACCCCAACCAGGACTCCCTACATGCTCGACAGATTATTCCTCCAATACCCCAATACCTGTCCCCCAATCCAGCCTGCCTCAACAGCCCGACAGAGCAGCTTACTTAATATCTGAACACCTGAATAGGTATCCCCAAATCAGTCCCACTTAATACCCAAGCACCTATACAGAAGCCCCCAATCCAAATCTCCTACATGCCTAAATATGTATGTGAACATGTGTGTCCAGCTTAGTCCAGCCAAGTGCCTAAAGTCCTGGCCAACCAGTAACTCCCAAACCAACCTCACTTGACCAGGGGAATACATGGGTGTTTGCCCCAATGCAGGTCTCCTAAATCCTTAAACAGGTGCCCTCGTACATAACCCACTTGGAAATTTAAATATCGACTCCCATCCAGTCCTACCTAAATACCTGCACAAGGGACCCGAACCCAGTGCCTCCCTTGCCCTGAAGTTCCTCGCCCATCAGATCCTGCCCACTGACTAGCGTCCTTCCTTGTCTTCCTCTGCACACCCTACCCACCTCCAGCTCTATGAGATGTTCTACCCAGTGATGAAATACCTCCCAGGACCTCAGCAACAAGCCTTTAAGGAGCTGCAGGGGCTAGAGGACTTCATAGCCAAGAAGGTGGAACAGAACCAGCGCACTCTGGACCCCAACTCCCCGAGGGACTTCATCGATTCCTTCCTCATCCGCATGCAGGAGGTGCGTCCAAACAGCCAGCTCAGAAGCGGGGGCAGGGTGCTGCTTTCCACAAACCAGGCTAGGGAGGGCCACAGAGGTCCTTTCCGACTAGTCCCTCACCATCATCATCCCCACAATCCCGATGACAGGCAGCCATCCCTGTTCCCCTGACTGAGCCCTTACCCTCGGCAGGACCTGTGCCAAGCGAATCAGCACAGTGTCCTTCTCTTTGCACTGCTGCATCCTCTGGGTGGCACAAGTAGTTCAGCGCGAGGCTACCAACCAAGAGATTGGTGGTTCAAATCCACCCAAAGTCTCCCCGGAAGAAAATACCTGGTGGTCTGCTTCTGAAAGGTCACCACCATGGGAACCCCTAGGGAGGGCAGTTCTGCCCTAAGATACAGGGGTCCTGGGGAGTTCGAATCCACAGCCGGGCTTGTTTCTGTGCTGTGGGTGGTTGCTATAGCACTGTTGGTTATCAAGCACTCTTTGAAATGCTTTCTAGTATTTGCCTCTCTCACATGTATGACGCTCCTTGGGCACATTCTACTGTGACCCCAAGTTTAGAAATGAAGAAACAAGTCCAGAGAGCACAGTGACTTACCTGAGGCCACCCAGCCAGGAAGTGGCAGCATCTCATTCAAAGCCTGGTCTTCAGACTCTACGACTGGTGTTCTTGATATTCTGTTCCCTGATTAGCAGACACATCTGTGTGGACTGGTGACCTGGCTTTACTATGTGACATTGGAGGGTCCCCACCCCTATCTGGATGTCAGTCTCCCTTCTGTGAAGAAACGTGATGGGGCTTTATGGAGTCCGTTCAGGGCACATGGAGCAAAGGAGGAGAGTCCTCCACCATAAATTAGCTTCAAGAGCTTTAGTGAAAGGAATCGGATGCTGTCACCAACACACTGGGTCTCTGACTAAGTCTGTCTTGCCATCCTTGTCCCTCTCTCTCACTTACTGTCTGTCCCTAAGCATTCCTACCATTTAAAAAGTGCTCATTAAAGGGCAGGTGGTGAGCCAAGCCAGGAGTTTGAGACCAATTCGGTGTAGAGGCAGCAGAACCTGGCCACTGGAGAAAGCATGGCAGATCCAGGGTCCCTCATCCCACTTCCGCTCGGAAGAAAAGGAGATCTCAGTGATCTCAGAGAGGGAGATCAAGAGGGAAAGCGACTGAGGGGCCCTGTGGGAGTGAAGAGTGTGCTCAGCCTGAAGCGTCCTTCTCCCTGCAGGAGAAGAAGAACCCCAACACAGAGTTCGACCAGAAGAACCTGGTGCTGACCACGCTGAACCTCTTCTTTGCGGGCACTGAGACCGTGAGCACAACCCTGCGCTATGGCTTCCTTCTGCTCATGAAGCACCCGGAAGTGGAGGGTGAGACTGAAGGGGGTCTACCTCTGACTCAGAGATTCTTTGAGTCCACTGAAATGCCCCCTCATCTTGCCCAGGTCCCTGATCCCTCAGACACCACTGCTACCCAGAGGAGGGTCCTACTCTTTAGTACCAGTGGAGTTTCACGAGCTGCTACAATGTTGAAAATGTCTAAACTGCCGGCTCCTGGGCTGAGCCCAATGAGGCCTGGCTCCAGCAATATGCGTGGCCAATATCTGTTTTGAATGGTCTAGAATCTAGACTCTACATCCATGGCAAAAGCAGCCTGGGGCCACAAGTGGTTCAGCAAGGGACCACCCAGCGTTGCCTTCAGAAAACAGACTTGGCGACCTGCTTTTGAAAGGTGGCAACCTTGGAAACCCCGTGGGGCAGGTCTGCTCTGTTCTGCGCCCCTGGAGTCTCCATGAGTCAGGACGGACTCATTGTCAAGTAGCAACAATAGTGTAGGTGTCGTAGACGGTCTAAAGGCTGTCGGTTATCATCTCCATCCTGAGACCTTCGGGTTCCTAAATCCATCCTCCCCCGTCCCCCAGCCAAGATACACGAGGAGATTGACCGGGTGATTGGCAAGAACCGTCAGCCCAAGTTTGAGGACCGAGCTAAGATGCCCTACACGGAGGCAGTGATCCACGAGATCCAAAGATTCGGAGACATGATCCCCATGGGCTTGGCTCGCAGTGTCATCAAGGACACCAAGTTCCGGGACTTCCTCCTGCCCAAGGTACTGCCTGCCCACCAGAGGGCTCTCCAAACTGGTGGCCCCTGTATCCTTAGAAACATTTCAGTCTCTCTCTCTCTTTCACACACACACACACACACACACACACACACCATCTCAATCAAAGATTTTCCCAACCATCTTCAGCCTTCCCACTTGGAGACTCTAATCTCTGTATCTCTTCCAAATTTCCTGCCTGGGGAAATTCAAACCCGTGTCCCCAAACTTCCTGTCCCAAGAAATGCATGTCCTCCGAGGTCCCTCTCTCAGGGAACATGGCTCCCAAGCTTTCTATCGCAAGGGATTTGAGCCTCATGTCCCCTAGACCTCCTGTCTCGAGAGACATAGAATCTGTAGTCTCAAACCTCCGGTCTCAGTGATTATGCACCTTATGTCCCCCAAATGTCTTGTCTTGGGAAACGTGAACCCACAGACACGGCAAAATTCCTCCAACACGAGAGACACATATCCCACGCTCCCCAAACTTCCGGTCACAGGGACCTTTCTGAGAGGATTCCAACTCCCCTTCTTCCCCCCTCCCCCATCTTCCTTCACTTTGGGCTCCCCAATTCTCCTGACAACTCCCCTGTGCTTTCAGCATCTCCATCTGGCCACTGCCACTTATATCAAATCCTCCTCCTCCTCAGGGCACTGAAGTGTTCCCCATGCTGGGCTCCGTGCTGAGAGACACCAAGTTCTTCTCCAACCCCAGGGATTTCAACCCCCAGCACTTCCTGGATGAGAAAGGGCAATTTAAGAAAAACGACGCCTTTGTGCCTTTCTCCATTGGTAAGAGAGCCTGCAGGCTGCCGGGCTGCTGCGCCTACCCACCACCAGGCGCCTCCCACATCCCAGTCAGCGCCTCTGAGGCACAGTCAAGGGTCGCTAGCTTGGAAGGCGGCAGCAACCTCCTGGCAAGGGAAGGGATGACCAGACCCTTTTAGAGAAGGGGAAAATCGAGTCCCAGAGTGAGAAATGTGTCTGAGGTCACCCAACAAAGACTCCAGATGGCTAAGCAGACAGGATAGCCACCATTTGGGGGAGGAAACCAAACCCCCCCAAACCCACTACCATGGAGTCTCTCTCTTCAGACACAGAGTGACTCTATAAGACAGAGTCCTTTCTGTGGGTTTCCAAAGCGCTCGCTTTTTATCCCCCATGGCTTAGCTCATCTATACATAATGCAATGTGTCTACTGGGTCGCAGTGTAGACATTTTCTTACCCGCATTGTGATCAAGACATTTGAATGGCCTTGCTTTCAGGTAGTGGTCTTCAAAATTTTACTTCCCAGCCTAAGTATAATCAAGTACACAGAGGATTTCAGGTGGATTGTAAATTAAACTCAGCGCTCTACTCCACTCCCCCTGCGGAATACAATATGTGCTCCGATTATATTCTATCGCACGTGTATTTTATGCTAGGAAGTCCACAATCCTTCTCTGCAATACAAGCCAGTGGGTCGAAATTACATCTTTAGAAGTTAAGTTTTTAAAACGTTGTGTGACCATAAGGCCCTAGTGCTAAATCTCTTGGTTGCTGCAATAACGATCAGTACACGAGGCACTAAATCTTTACCGGTGCCTCATCTTTCTCCCGAGGAGCCACTGGTGGTTTTGAACCTCAGAACCTGGGGATGGCAACCCAATGCTTAACCCACTCCATCACCCAGGCTTCTTTTCTGGGAGGAAGGGGCACCGCAGGGTCCCATTGCTGTAACTTGTCTGGGGCCACCCCTTCTAATCGACAGGGGTAACCAAGGCCCAGAGTGGATAAGAACAACCCGTGAGTGTCTGTCAGGCCACAGCAGCCAGCCCTGCTCCCTGGGAGATTGTTGGGGCCAGGGGACAATGAAAGTGGGCTCACCTCTGGCCTCCCCACCCCATCTCTCCAGGAAAGCGCTACTGTTTCGGGGAAGGCCTGGCCAGGATGGAGCTCTTTCTCTTCCTGACCACTATCCTGCAGAATTTCAGCTTCAAGTCCCCGCAGGCACCCAAGGACATCGACGTGTCCCCCAAAAATGTGGGGTTTGCCACCATCCCACGAACCTACACCATGAGCTTCCAGCCCCGCTAAGCAGGCGAGGGGCCGGGGCAGGGCTAGTGGGAGGAGGGGAGAAATGAGGAGAGTGAGAAACTGGGGGGGGTGGGGGGGGTGGCGGGCAGGTGGACTCACTGGCTGAGCCAGGTTAAGTGGGGAAGAGATGCGGAGGGTCAAGGAAGGGGGTCGGCGGCGGAGGTGGATAAGAGGGCAAGAAGAAACATAATGAGCTCTGTCTGTTCCCTTGCAAAGGACAGACTTTTCAGAGGTGGGGTGGAAGGAAGGCTGATAATAATTAATAATAATAATAATAAGCACTGTCATTAATTACACCAGTGTCTTGTGTCAGCTTTATGTTAAACGCTTCCCATGTTCACATGACCTAAAGCTCGCCAGTTCACAAACTGATGGAAGGTGGCACGGCGCGTGTGCCCATTTTCCAGGTGAAACCGTTGAGGTTCAAAGCATTCAAGCCTCTCCCCGGAGTCTCACAGAACAGAAGTACTTGAACCCAGAGTGTGTAGGGATGGCTAGACTTAGCCCACCATCGGCAGGTTTCTAAAAGAAGACACCATTTTCTCAAACAGAACAACAACTCAGTACATTGTTAGACAACTTGAAAACGATGGTGGGGATTTTCCCAATGCCCCGGGGGTGGAGGGGGAGCTGACCTGCTTCCACACACAGGTCCGCTCTTGAGAGTCTTGGGTGTCAATGACTACTCTGTGCCCCCTGCCCCCACCACCAGGTAAGGTCATTGTGTGCAGTTCGCAGTCCCGTGGGAGAACAGAAATCGGGCCTCGACATGGGGTGAGTGTTAGGGAGACGCACTTTCAGGAATTGTGGGAGAACTCTGGACCGGGAGGGCTGGCTGGCACAGGGCCACGCAGCATTTCTTTCCGTCACCCATGAGGGAATTACTGTACTTCAGCGACGACACAAGTGGTCAAATCTGAGATCTGCAGCGTCCACAGCTCAGGGCCCTGGGATCTCTGTCTCTGAACCTGAGACTCAGAACGTTCGCGTCCCAGATGCTTGGAAGTATTGGTGCTCCAGGGTGGCCTGAGGAGAGCCCGGCACACACCTTTGAGAACTGCCTTCCCAGCCACTGTAGGCCAGTGTCAAACTGGATGGCCTTTTTTTTTTTCTTTCCATTTTTTTTTTTAATCTTTTTATTGGGGGCTCGTACAACTCTGATCACAATCCGTACAACCATCCATTGTGTCAAGCACATTTGTACATATGTTGCCACCATCATTCTCAAAACATTTGCTTTCCACCTGATCCCTTGGTATCAGCTCCTCATTTCTTCCCCTCCTCCATCCCCCTCCCCCATGAACCCTTGATAATTTGCAAACCATTATTATTTTGTCATATCTTACACCATCCAATGTCTCCCTTCACCCACTTCTCCACTGTCGGTCCTCCAGGGAGGAGGTTATATGTAGATCCTTGTAATTGGTTCCCCCTTTGTACCCCACCGTCCCATTTTCTTTCCATTTTATTGGGTACTCTTACAACTATTACAGCAGTCTATAGTTCAAGTCAATTTCCAAAACATTTTCTTTCATCTTGCACTCTTTGATAGGAGCTCCCCTCTATCTGTGCCCTCCATGCCCTCCCCCACCCTACCCCAGGAACCCTTGTTATTATATTAAATATTATTATCATTATTGTTATTCCTTTTTGGGGGGGGCCTATCTTACACCATGCAATGTATCCTTTCACCTGCCATTCCGTTATTCATTGCCCACCAAGTGGAGTAATATAGTCATCATTGCTATCAATTCCCCCTTCCTCCCATTTCCCCCTCTCTCTTTCTGTACCCTTGGGAAACCATTACTCCTGTTACTATTTCTGAAGGGTTTATCTATCTTAGATTTCATGCATCAAACAATCTTATTTATACCAATGAGCATATGCAGGTCTAACCGGATAGAGGTAAAACTAAGACCATAATCGTAGAGAGAGGAAATATTAAAGAACTAGAGGATAGTTTTGTGTTTCAACAGTGCCATACTACACCCTGGATATATCATCCCTTCCGTGTGGCCCTTCTGTGAGGGACTGTCCAATTATCTTACAAGTGGTTTGGGGGTCTCCACTTTGCCCTTGCTCCTTCCGGTTGATTTGGTTGCTTGTTTTTGAACCTCTGATACCTATTCCTGTGGACACCTCATGATCACACAGGCTGGTGTGCCCTTCTGAGAAAGAGCTTGAGAAGAAAGCAGGGGCGGTGCCACCTCCGGGGAAAGGGAGAGTGAATAGACCTTTGTTTTGCAGGGAAACAAGGAGAGGAACAAGGGAATTAATCCTCATAATCCCTAAACTCACACTTTGAAAGGAGAAAGCAGCAGCCAGAGGTGCTGAGAGAAGCCTCATTCCAGCCACCAACTCCCGGTCACACTTTTCTAAACAGGTGGGCTCTCTGAAAGAGCCCACTGCCAACACTGTGGGGGGAAAATGCCAGTCCCCCCACCCACTAGTCGCGGGTTTGACAGGCGCAATTGTATGGTTGAGATATATAAATGTTATATTAAAGTCATCGAGAGCATGAGAGATAGAAGAGAGATTGAAATAATGGAGTCAGACACATTTCATGGTAGCATGCTCATCTCAGCCCCGCTTGGTGGTCCACGTGGAGAGGGGGGTAGGGTGGGGGGACAAGGGGAAAGGGGACAGGGGAGAGAGGACGGGAGAGAGGAAGGGGGAGCTGACCAGAGGTCAAGAGGGGAGCCCTAGAGCACTCTTTATTGCTAACCAAGGCCTATATACCTTTGGGGGGAGTGCAAGCCCACTAATTACAGGTAAAGACATACGTCACAGGAAGGGGTTGCACGGTAGGTTATACAGCAATGAGAGGGGAACAATCTAGGGATATACATGCAATAGGAAGAGGAGGGATTGGGGGTATACATGTGACAAGAAGGGCGGATCCTAGATTCAGGATGGCAACCTAACTTTGGATGTCACTGAGAGGGTTTGACCTGTTCTCTGGCTCTCCATAGAAACCCCACCTACAGGGGCAAGACTAATGGCAGCAAGCCTTTAGGGAGAAGCAGCCCATTGTCCTTAACAGCAGGGAGCGAGGCCTACCTGTGGTGGGGCCACATAGTAGTCTGGCAACTGACTGCCTTCAGGGAGGATGTCTCTGAACATCTGACCTCCCACCATATGCTGGCAAAAAGCCCCTAATGTTTGGCAGTCTTTGGGGGCATATCCTTTTTTATTATTATTACAATTGAGGCTTGATTTCATTGACTTTGGGATTGAACATATGCACAGCAGAACGTGTACCCATTCAACCGCCTCTGGGTGTACAATCCAGTGGCATTGACGACATTCTTCAGATTGTGGCGCCCTTCTCTCTCCTTTTCCGCGCCGCTCCTCACCCTCACTAAGATGAACTCACTGCCAACCTTGGTGGTTTAAACCTGGACAGACCCTCCAGCTCCTCTGCTTATGCCCCCAGGAGACCTCGTAACATACTGGGTTAACAGCCAGGCTGCTAACTGCAAGATCAACTGTTTGAAACCACCAGCGGCTCCTTGGGAGAAAGATGAGGCTTCCCACTCCAGTAAAAGGGTTAGTTTCGAAAATCCACAGGGGCAGTTCCGCCCTGTAAATTCACTCTAAGTGGGTTGTTTTTGTTTTCATTTTAATCTTCCAAGTTATGGTTGTCAGTTTGATTCTACGGAGACAGATCTTGAAAGAGCATACTGTTGAAGGCACTCAAGGCTCATTACTAGAAAACAAAAGCCTTCGAGGGATATTTTCGGTGTAAGGCACTGATTCCCAAACTTATTAGGGAGATCCCTCCTTTTCAGAAAAAAAAAATTAATCAGCACTTTCTTGGCAATTAAAACCTTTTATTTTATTTATTATCTATTTATTTATATACAATTTTATTGGGGGCTCTTACAGCCCTTTAACAATCCATACATTGATTGTATCGAGCACGTTTGTACATTTGTTGCCATCATCATTTCCAAAACATCGTCTTTCTACTTGAGCCCTTGGTATCAGTTCCTCTTTTTTCCCTCCCTCCCCCACTCTGATGAACCCTTGATAAATTATACAACATTATTCTTTTCATATCTTACACTGTCCGCTGTCTCCCTTCACCCACGTTTCTGTTATCAGGAGGGTGCTATACCTGACCATTGCAATTGGTTAACAGTTTTTCCCCTTTCTCCCTGCACCTTCCCCCTACCCTCATGGCATTGCTACTCTCATGGTATTATTACCCCTGTTCCTGAGGGGTTTAAATGTCCTGGATTCTGTGTGTCGAGAGCTCTTGTCTATACCAGTGTACATGCTCCGGTCTAGCCGGATTTGTAAGGTAGAACTGGGATCATGATAGTGAGGAGTGGGGAATGGGGGTGCAGGAAACATCAAAAAACTAGCGGAATGTTGTGTGTTTCATCAGTGTTTTACTGACCCATCCTGATCCTGTCTATACCTCGTGATCACACAGATTAGTGTGCTTCTTCCATGTGGGCTTCGTTGCTTCCCTGCTAGATGGCCAATTGTTTGACTTCAATCCTTTAAAACCCAAGAAGCTATATCTTTTGATAGCCAGGCACCATCAGCTTCCTTCACCACATTTGCTTATGCACCCATTTTGTCTTCAGTGATTGTGTCCGGAAGGTGAGCATCACAGAATGCCAAGTTATTAGGACAAAGTGTCCTTGCATTGAGGGAGGACTTGAGTAGATGCCCAGTGTCTATCTGCTACCTTAACACTTAACATAGAGAGCAGCCAATGTCCCACCATGAGACATGATGTCCCCTCACTGACTCACAGCACTACAGGAGCCAGCCCTGGAGGCAAAGTGCAGGAACTGTGCCTGATCTGACACCCCCACTCCCATCACCACACCAGGACAATTACAGCCTTTTATTTAAAACATGAAGGGAGTGTAAAACAGCAGCAAGGTGAACAAAGCAACGAAGTCCCCAAGGATTCCCTAAAATAGACTTTAGACTCAGGGGGAAGGGCTTGGCCCCTTATCAGACTCGATTGGAAAACATTCATAAGGGTCAACAGACAGACCTGGAACTATTTATAGGCTTTTGTTTCTTCTTCTTCTT